AGGGAGGGAAGGAGGGAGGGCGGCGGGGGGACCGGGCGGGCCGCGGGGTCGTGCTGTGGGCCCGCCTCGGCACCCCAAGGGGGGCTGGCTGCTGGCAACGCCGCCTTACGGAGCGGCTGGTAAGACAGTGCCTCAAAGTAAGGAGAGAAAAGTAGAAAATGAAAGCCGGGGGGCAGGAGGAGAGTGCTCTCTGCCGGGGGTGGGGGGCTCAGGGGGTGGTCTGCCCCCGGAGGGGCTGGGTCTGAGGGGAGCGGTGCTGACAGGGTGCATTCAAAACGTGATGACTGCCCTTTCGTTATCCTGGAAACTTAACTGTGGGTTGGCTTCCAAAGCGATATACAGGCTCTCAGCAAAAAATCCGTAATTTCAGGAGGATTTATTCTTGCAGATTTTAATTTAAAAAACAAACCAGCAAAAAAAAAAGCGGTTTTTTTTTTTTTTTTTTTTTAAGTGTTCCCTTATCCAGTGCCAGCTCTGTGCGTGGCTCTGTTCAGAGCTGGGTGGGCTCGCACACAACCCACTGCCCTGCACGGGCAGCCCAGAGCTGCTGCTCCCCTGGGGCAGACAGGAGGACAGGCAGACAGGAGGACAGGGCAGCATAGCGTGGGCTGGCAGCGTGGCAATGGGCTGGCAGCCACTGCCCAAGGAAATGCCTTTGGGGCAGCCCATCCTCACTACCCGAACAGAGCTCTTCAGTGTTTTACCTTCACTAGCAAACGGTAAGGCCGGGAGGAGGGTCCCAACCTAGAATTTACTTGCTGAAAATACTGCAAGCAAACTCTCTGCAACAAATCTGCCTCGCGTGGAAACTGCTGGAGCGACGTGTGAGGCTGCAACCGGCTATCTTCGAGAGGGATCGGCTTCAGACAGGGCAGGGTGGTGTAACCGTCACACTCCATGTACAGCTGCTGTCTCGGAGGTGAGGCAACTTTTCCTGGAAGGGTTAGTTGTGAGCGGGGCTGCTAACTTCCATGGCACCTTCCCCAAAAAGGGGACTTCATGAGGCTGGTGGGCGGCTTCCCTGCTGCTGCTGCTTGGGAGAAATAACATTTGAAGGAGGAGGAGGTGGAATGTTTCACGCAAGCAAGGTTTTATTGTCCGGCTTTGCAAGCTTTCCTTCTTGAGTTAATGGCTGGTGATCATTGTGCCGGGAGGAAGGTAGATCTGTTTCCAAATGTGTTGCTTCAACGTGGTAAATGTGGTATGTCGGTTTATGGTTCTTAGGAAGATTCCAGTATTCATAGGATTTGAAGTCACTTGTTAAGATAGGTGTTTGTAGCTTGAATGTTTTGTTGGAGGATGTTAAGACTTTATCAAAAGTTGGAATTTTCTTCCAAGGTATGTGCAGTGCTGTTCCAGTGTCCATCTCGGGGTTATCATAGCAATATTGAATTTATTTGCTGTTCCGCAACAGTTAAAAGATTATTTGGAAAAGGCTGTTGTCCAACAAGAGTAAGGACTAAGATTTAGTTATCAAACTGTTCTGATACGCTTGCCTCTTATACTCTCAGGGTGAGATTTTTCCAGGGACCCCAAGGTAGTAGCCCAACTCCAGTTCAGTTCATGGGGAACCTGGATTTCTGATTCACCCTCTTCTCCTTTACATCTCTTCAAAAAATTGTTCATGTCTCTTTAGATTACATGTTAATGCATTAGTTTTAAGTGCATGCATTTAAGTGCGTGCAACTTCACGTGTCTAGCAAGTGGGTACATGAGGGTGGGTAGTGATCGCGTACAGTGATGACTCCTGTGCGTGAAATTTAAAAAAATAATCTGGAAAACTGAAATAAGTGTCATAGAAAAAAAGCGTTTTTGATTTAGTTTCTACTCTTAAATGCTCATGTTTTAAGTTTAGGTTAAGGTTATCGCGTTATTTCAGCAGGTGGGTGAGCTTCACAATGCATTATTCTCTTGCTCTCAACGTGACTGTCATCTGCGATAGAGAAGTGAAGTCTGAGCCAGCGAGGCCCTGTGCTGCAGGTAGTATTTCCCCACGGACAGACCTTAGGTGGATGTTAGCTCAGCTTTGCCCTGTCGTGGGATCAGTAGGAGAGGCCCAGATGGGTTCTAGAAATAGTCTGTGAAAGTCAGATCTCAAGAATGCAGTACTTCCTCATATTTCCCTTCCTTCCGTATTTTATGGCAGTCACTTGGTAACAGGGAGATACTGGAAATGTCCTCAGTTCTGCATCATAGTCTTTTTCTTTGTGTCTGAATTAAAGCTTTGTGACAGTCAGACACGCCCTGAAGATCTTACTCAGGCCAAAAGGAGCTGATAAAAGTGAACTCTAGGCATACAAATTAGCTGTACGTAAATAGCAGCTTTCCAAATAAAAAGCTCATTTTCCAAGTTAAATGTACAGAATATCTTTCAATACTGACCCAAAGGGTGGGGTTTTTTTTAAGAACAAAATCCAGTTTTACTAGGCAAGCCTGGGCTAAACGGTTACTAAAATAATAGAGTAAGGCTTTCAGGCAGAAAAGAGTGAAATGAGTGTTGGAAATTGTATCATTTCCTATTTCCTAGTGTCCTGACATCACGAGAGGCAGTGACTGTGTGATGAAAGGCCCTTTTCATGCCCTGCAGAAAAAGCTGTTATGCAGGTCAACACAAAGGTCCACTATATGCTTAGAGTTTAGTGGCCAAAAAGATTTTTACTTGGAACGTTTCTCTACTGTGTAGACACAACCGAAAAAACCACAGGAATCATCTGTTTAACAGCACTGTGCAGAACTGAACTGAGCTATCTGGGTTTCGTGTTGGGGTTCCCTGGCACATTAAGAAGAAACTCCCAGGTTTGAGTGAGCTGTCTGCAAGTCCTGGATGAGGGAGAGGGTTTCCATTGCTAAAATCTTTACCTAAGTCTCAGAAAACAAAGTAATTCAAGTACTTTGCTCTGCATAAAAAGAAGTCCGGGGGGGTGAATTTTTCCTCCAGTTTTCACGGTATTGATTTGCTGAGCTTTGGGTGAAAAGTTTTTTGATTTGTAACTCTCTGCTTGTGAAATGAATAAAACTGCTTGAGCAGAGACAGCTACAGAATGTGCTTATGCAGAATACTGCAAACACCTGCTTTTGTACGCAATATTCACTTCATTCTCACTAAGTAGTGTTTGGGGTGGTTTGGTTTTTTTTTTTTTTTTGGTAAGTGCTATAAATAATCCTTGAGTGGACTTTGCAGTACTGTCTGGGTGGGTGAGATTAGATATCTGGAAGGTAGGGATGGGTTCTCCTCCAAGCATCATCACTATGTGATCTTGAGTATGTCGCTTCTTGCAGTGCATATTTTCTCGTTGTAAAGATCCTAAATCTTCACATGGCTCTTCTGAGCCTACTGATATTCTAAAGCACAATAAAGGTACTGAATTGGAAGGCAGCAGCCAAGGGAAGCTTGTCGTTGTAAGGTATGTACAGGTATGTGATATAGTAATTCTGCATTGCTGGGAGGCTGTAAGCTAGAAGAAGAATCAAGAAGGCAGGTAGGCAAAACTGAAGCTTTCATCTCTCACCTTCTATTGAACTAGGTGATTGACTTGTATAACAAGAATGAACATAGAGACAAATACATACATTTGAAAATTTAGCCCTAAAAATGTATATGTATTAAAAGTTATGGGTGGACTGATCTTTGGATCCAGAACTCTTAGTTCTCCCAACTTATAAAGGCCAGGACCAAAAGAAGGACATAAATACCAGAAATAGCGCTTGGGTTCAAACTGTGGAATTTTCCACTTAGGTCTCACCTAACCCAGCAGTGCATTAAAGCTTCAATTTCTCTTTTTTTTGGAATGTGACTTTCCCTAAGCAGCTCCTCAGCCTGTGCTCAGAACAGCAGCCACAAGGAGGCATGTTGTCCCCAGTTGTGCTTAGAGCTGTTTTCATCTTTCTGGTCTGCAGACCCCATGCATGGTTCAGATGAATTAGGCACAGAGTTGGAGGTATGGGAGTATGGAACAAGGCAGGAGCTGGAGAAGAGCATTGATGTGTTGCTAGGAATACCTGGTAGGTGTGGAGAAGGAGAGGTGGGTGTTCATAAAGTACCTCACACTGAGCATGAGTCCTGGCAACGCTGTTCAGTCTTGCGTGACGTGTAACAGAGCATAAGCTGCATAGGTCATGGTATCATAAGGGGAAGGCTTACAGCCCCTGTCTTACACAGAGAATCCATCCCTGCTGTTGCCATCATGCTACTCACAGCTTTGGAGCCAGGGAGGTCCACCATTCGAAACATGGCTCCCTTTCAGTAGCAGTCCAGTGGCAGGCTACTAGCCAAGAGTGACCTGCGTTTGGTTAGGATCCAGGATGCAGGAGCTCACCCACCAAACAGGCGCTCGCTGTCTCTGGGTCTGTTAGAGAATGAAGACACCTTCAGGGAGTCCCAGCATGGAGCAGAAGATAAAACATGAACCTCTGCCTCTGGTATTTTCTGTTGGCTATCTATTATTGGCATCTGTCCTGTGTGTTGACTTTAGATAGCCCTCTGCACGCTGCAGCCTGGTAGCTCTAGGGAGAAGTGTGCTATGGTGTAAGGTGGAAGAGCTGGATTACTTGGGTTGAATTGCTTTCTAATTGGAAGGCTGTTCTAGAAATCTCTATTTATCTGGAAAGAGAAGCCAGTTTAAACTTTAAGTGTTGTAGCTGCTTCTACTCTTGCCTGGGTTCCTTTGGTACGGTTAGGATCGTTTGCATAGGCTGGTTTAAGACATTAAGTACTTGGGTTGGGATTGTCTTTCTAGCCTGGAGAACCGAAGGTGGTTCACCTCTGTCTGAGCTAGGGGACTGCTGGAGGCATGGCTGCGTGTAAACTGTTAGACAGGGCTGATGCATGGTGCTTTGGATACCTCTGTGCGACAGGTATCAAACCTGGAATGGAAGAATGGAAACCATACACTCCAGCCACCTAGACCGAGGCCTAAAAAAAGGCATTTCCTCTTTGCGTAGATCCAGGGTCAGTGCTTCGCAATGGGCTGACTGCAGGAGAAACAGGTAGTGTTTCTCCCTCACACATTTTCTTCTCCCTCACACGTTTTTGAGAGACTCGTGCTGAACTAATAGTAGCAGTGAATGTTTTATAGCTCCTTGTGAAATGGTGATGAAGTGAACAAATTTTGAGGCAAACTCTTCAGTGGCATCCTCAGCACTGCTAGTTCAGATACCGATTTTGTAATTAATTCAGGTGTAAACATTGCATAGAACATCAGTTTGTTTGATGTTTGTGCTGCACAGAGAAGGTGTAATTAGCCCATAAGTTGTATGATGTCGTTAGCGCTCCAGGACCGCAAGTCTTGGGCCTTGACTCCACTGTAGCACCAGGCAAACAGGCTTCTGGCTGAAATTTATCAGCTTCAGCGTACTAGTGGTAGCAGGTATTGTGGCTAAAAGAGGGTTTTCTGGAGGATTTTGGATGTCTTCTGGAAACCAGGCATGCTGTATGAATGCTGACAATCAGTGTTGGTATCATCAAGTTTCATTAGGGCTTGTCTCGTCAAGACTTTGCCCTTTCACAATCAGGCAAAGTGTTTCCAGTATTAAATGTGCTTTGATGTAATCACCTTGTTTTATTGTTTGTAGACAGCTGGTACTTAGTAGGGCAGGTGATCTAGCAGAAGTGTTCCACCTACCTTCCATTGTGTCCATTAATAGTTTCCACTTGTGTGTATTGTTTTGGTCAGATGTAATTTACTTGAAAACCAGCTTCTAAAAAGTGTAAAGAGCAATTGTTGCAGTGTGTCATTGGCTGAAATAAAGCCATTGTGTAAAGATTGCATTTTCTAAGGTAAAAAATATTTATAATATTTGCAGGTGTAATCACTATGTTTTTTAAAAAAAGCATCAACCATAAATGAAATTTAGACCAAGCTGTGCAATGCTAGAAATATACTAATTGTAGTTAATTTTCAGCAACTGAACTGAAGTGAGTATTGGACTACAATAAGCTCTCTGTCTATCTTTGCACACTATCTGCAAGCTGCAGATAGCGATTTTTATCAAGTAAGCCTCCCCGAGAGACAGTGCTGCAGCATTCTTTTCCATTTCACAACATTGCCAGTGGCAGGTTTATTCTATGGGATATCAGCTTCCCTCCTTGGGAAGGTGATTCCTTGCTTAACAGGGATATAATGGGGATGCTCTTTCCAAGTTTGTTTGGAAATTGCTTTCTCCGTGCTTTTAGCCCTTGCTTTTTATAAATACTGTGTTCACTCTTTTAAAAAGTCTCACATAGCACATTCATTTAGTGCAAATGGTCCTTCTTTGTGTTTTTAGGGAGGCCTCAAGATAGCAGCGATGGCGGAATTCAACAATGTTCATTCAGTGACTGAAATGCCAGAAGATGATGCTAAACGCAGTTTCCATAACAGAATGTTCCTGGAGCCCCAAGAGAAGAAGAGGAGCATGAAGGCTCTGGTGGTTAAGCAAGCAAAGAAAAGTTGCAGCTGCACTCCAGCCAAAGTTAAAGACTCTGTTTTCAGTTTCTTTCCTGTCTTGCAGTGGCTTCCTAAATACAAACTGAGAGAGTACCTGCTAGGAGACATTATGTCTGGTGTGATCGTGGGGGTCTTACTAGTCCCACAGTCAATTGCCTATTCTCTCTTAGCTGGACAGGAGCCTATTTATGGCCTTTATACTTCCTTTTTCTCTAGCATTATTTATTTCATATTTGGAACCTCCCGCCACATCTCAGTTGGCATCTTCGGTGTGATATGCCTGATGGTGGGACAAGTGGTGGATCGTGAGATACAGAGAGCTGGCTACGACTTAGAGCCAGCTGCGCTGGGTGGCCTCACAGATACAGCAGAGTACGTAAACACCACCATTTTGCCCGTGAATCAGACATCGCAGGAGCTGCTCTGTGATAAAAGCTGCTATGCAATTACAGTGGGAGCCACCATAACCTTCATAGCTGGAGTTTATCAGGTAAGAGGAGGTGGACAAACAGGTATTCTGAGGAAATAGTTTTAATTCTTCTTTAGGTGTTTGTCCCCATGAAGAGTCTGCTGGGCTTGCACAGCACATATCCTCGCTCTGCATCCCAGGGGAGTGGACACAGGGAGGACTGGAGGTCTCTGGTTACTGTGATGCAAGAAGCTCCTCTCTGTCCTCTCCATTTTGTGGAGCTTATAAGCTTATAGCTTAGGCCTCCATTTCATTGGCTGGTATGTGGTGTGTCAACTTTTAATTCTAGACTTTGGTCATTTGCCTTTTCTTTTATCAAAAAATAATCTGGGCAGTAAAAGTATCTCCAGTTTCTTTTTATTTGTCACTGTGCTTGTAATACTTTGTGTTTGCCCACTCAAAGCCAAAACAATGCCATTGTATGAAAAGGACACTATTGAGATGATAAATATGTTTGAAATAAAACTTTTAAATTATCACCATTTAAAATACATTACTTAACAATATTTTACCACTATGTCTCTACTTAATTCCTAGAATTCGCTGCTTGCTGAAATTAAAGCAGATATTTTTGTTTCTAGGAAGTCATGCATTAACCAGAATGGATTTAGTTTTAACAGTACTGCAGAGCTGTGGTATTTGAGTTTGTGAGTTCACATTCATTTGTTTCCACAGTGACCTCCAGGGTGATAGCAAATCAAACTGTAGAGGAGCTGAAAAGGAAGCATACCTGTGACAATCTAAAACACTGGTTTTAGACATAACCTGGTACCTTTTCTTGTATTGCAAGTTAGCATTGAGTAATTTCAGAAGTATTCTGGGACTCCTGTGATACACTGGATTTTGTGTTTCTTCACTGTAGGATGGATGCAGTTTTGGAGCTGTTAATTGTGCTTAATATTCTTTGCAAGTACAAATACAATTGTTTCTCTATATGAAGAAGTCAGGTTACTTTATTGTAAGTCCCTCTGAATGTTAGGCATATTCTATTTGCTGTCTCTCTGCCTGCTAACTAATAGGTCTTCACATTCTGAAATACTTTTTTTTTATGGGAATCTCTAACCAAAATCCCATATTCTTTGTATTGGAAACTTTATAATCAAATCTTAGAAAGCAAGCCAGCTCACACCAGTTGCCTACAGCATAACTAGGTAGGATTTTTTATTGCTAATGTTCTACAGGTGGAAAAAACTTTGAGTTAACTTAATTACCAAGGTTGTGAAGGAACCTTCTTAACAGCTTGGCTCTGAGCCGATGTCCAGTCAGTCCAGGTCCCAAACCTGCCTTCTCTCCAGCCATGATCCTAGCATTCTTTATTTTGCCTGAACTACTTAGTGGGATATATCAAATTGACACTACTTAAATTTTAATACCTGTAAGTTCTGGCCTGCAGTCTTCAGGTAACATTGTAAGCATCACTGTTGTCCAGCTCGAGGAATTAAAAGGTTTCTAGTAACTGCTGTGAGAAGTTCCGTGCTCCATTTGGCATGAAGGTTGATGGGGAGAAAGGGATATTTACCAGCTGTGAAGACAAGTGTGTAGGGTAGGTATCCATAAAACCAGTCATTCCCATGAGAGAGCACCAAGGATTTGTGCATTCAACTGGCATTAATAAAAATGAATGACAAGGCACTTCAAAAATTTATCTTTTTACATAATCTGCATCACAAGAGTCTGCAGCTCATGCTTTCTGAATCAGATGCCCCAAACTTTATGCAGTGCAAAGGACAGCTGTTATGCTGTAAGCTATATTTTTATTGCAGGTTGTGGGCTCAAGTGTCAGACAAAGACAACCAAAAAGGTTTTGGATCCCTGCAAAGTTCACAGAGATTATGCGAACTTGAGAGAGAAATGGCAAAAGTAGCTGGTATTTTAAATGCTTTTTTCTCTGGGTTTCTTTGCCCATGGGGGTAACTAGGAGTTACAGTTGAACCAATGAGAAAACAACAAATACAGGTTCAGAGTACAAAGACCCCCAAAAAAGCCTGCTCTGTGTATCTTTCCTTTAAGTGCAGTGTACCAGGAGCAGCTGAATGATGGAAACCATTTTTCCTTGCTCAGACCATGCCTTGTCCTCCAGGACCATGCACGGTGTTGGTTTTTTTTTTTTTATCCCACCTCCCTCTAGAGTCCCTCAGTGATGACATCTGCAAGATTTGCATCCTAATCTGTCATGTTGATTCCTTCTAGGTGGCCATGGGTTTCTTCCAAGTGGGCTTTGTCTCAGTGTACCTCTCCGATTCATTGCTGAGTGGATTTGTCACAGGTGCCTCCTTTACCATCCTGACCTCACAAGCCAAGTATCTCCTGGGCCTAGACATTCCACGGAGCAGTGGCATCGGCTCCCTCATAGCCACATGGATAAACATCTTCAGAAACATACACAAAACCAACATCTGTGATCTCATCACCAGCTTCTTGTGCTTTCTTGTACTTATCCCAACCAAAGAGCTTAATGAACATTTTAAATCCAGGCTCAAGGCTCCAATACCAGTTGAACTAGTCGTGATTGTGGCAGCTACTCTGGCGTCTCACTTCGGGAAGCTTAGAGAGACTTATGGCTCGAGCGTTGCTGGACACATCCCAACTGGGTTTCTGCCACCCAGCCCTCCAGATTGGAACCTGATTCCTAATGTGGCTTTGGATGCTATCCCCGTAGCTATAATTGGCTTTGCCATTACTGTTTCCCTCTCGGAGATGTTTGCCAAGAAGCATGGTTACTCTGTGAAGGCCAACCAGGAAATGTATGCCATCGGCTTCTGCAACATCATTCCCTCTTTCTTCCATTGCTTCACAACAAGTGCAGCTCTTGCCAAGACTCTTGTCAAAGAGTCCACAGGCTGTAGGACACAAGTGTCTGGCATGGTGACTAGTTTGGTAATCCTATTAGTCCTCCTTGTGATTGCACCTTTATTTTATTCCCTTCAGAAATGTGTCCTTGCTGTCATAACCATTGTAAACCTCAGAGGAGCCCTGCGGAAGTTCAAGGACCTGCCAAAAATGTGGCATTTGAGCAGAGTGGACACAGTGATCTGGGTAGTTACTATGGCAGCCTCAGCACTCATCAGTACTGAGATTGGTCTTTTGGTTGGTGTTTGCTTCTCGATGCTCTGTGTCATTTTCCGAACTCAGAGGCCGGAGGCACCGCTGCTTGGCTGGGTGGCAGAGTCTGAGACGTACGAATCCCTGTCTGCTTACAAGAACTTGCAAACCAAACCAGGAATTGTGGTGTTCCGTTTCGAAGCTCCCCTCTACTACATCAACAAAGAGTGTTTTAAATCCACCCTGTACAAGCAAACTGGGGTTAACCCAGTCTGGGTGAAGACAGCAAAGAAAAAGGCAGAAAAAAGGATGCTTAGAGAGAAAGAGGTGGATTCTGATGGCAACCAGACCGGCATCTCCATGGATTTTGTCTCTGAACCTCTGGGGTTTCACACAATAGTGATTGACTGTTGTGCAATACAGTTTCTGGACACGGCAGGAATACGCACGCTGAAGGAGGTCTGCAAGGACTACAGGGAGATAGATATCCAGGTGCTACTGGCCCAGTGCAATCCTTCAGTGAGGAGTTCCCTGATCCGAGGAGAATTCTTTAAGGAAGGGGAGGACCACCTTCTCTTCCACAGTGTGCACCAGGCTGTGGACTTCGCATTGGGTGCGCAGGGGCACAGTGGGACCAGTGATTCCAAGAGCTAGTTGTGGAAAGGGAGCAAGCTGGAACAAAGCCTGGCAAAAAACATATGGCTCTGGATCTGTATGTCTATGCAATATATATACACTCAGATAAGAGGCAGAGTTGTTTTTAACACGCTGGTTACTATGCAGTCTGTTTTGATGCTTTAAATTTACCTGCAGGGTATAGTGATTCAATAGGTGGTACTGAATGAAGGCGATTCTTAACTTGATTATGGCCAATCTGTGAATCTTAAGAGTTCTCATATGGTTGTTCATCTCATTTCTCTTCTCTCTTGAACTTTCTTTGCCTCCCTTGCAATCCTGTCTTTATGGAGGGTATGGGATTTTAAAGTAGTTCAGGCATCCTGTCCAACTGAATAATGAGAGACAGCTCATTTCTTGTCCCTCGTTCTGGCATTGCTTTTCCATATTACCACACTGTTGTATTTTCTAAGGAATGACTGACAGAGACTCTTCGCTCTGGTCTTTACCATGAAGTGATTGGTTGGTGATTTTATAACCTCCCTGAATTTGAGACGGATAGATAAATAAATTCTAAACATGCAGGAAAAGGTCTTATTATGAATAGCTTCTAACCACCTGTCACCTCCAGAGGCTTTGTCATTGTCTCCTGAGAGCCTTCTGCAGCCATGGGGCTGTGGTTACCTCATTTCTACACGGGCCTTTACGTGCCAGGAAAGTTTGCCTCTTCAGCTTGAATTTTTTTGTAATAGTTTTTATTCAGAGGTGACTGTTTACATCTTCATGGTCAGTTGTTTGTTTTCCTAATATTTAGGAGCTCTTTAGAATTGTGGACATTAGATATGGAAAATCTCTTATTCTTGAGTTTCAGCAGAAAACAGTCCATTATAGCCAGTTTTATATGCCAGGCAGGCAGAATTATAGGCATTAAAATGAAAAGGGCCAAATAGATTATCCAGCATCTGTCCAGATTTGTCCGTGTCATGCAGACTTCATGTGTGAATGCAGCTTTTATTGACCATAAACCATTTAATTGTTGTGGACTTTATATTATGGGGATGGACAGGCAAAGAAATACAGCTATTGGAAAAGGAGCCAGAGACAATTCTGCTAAATGCTATTTCACCGTACTAGTGTAAATAAAACTTTGTACTTTGATTTTAAATTATGCATAATAATGAAGAGTGCCTGTTCTTCATGCTAAAATACAAGCACCAAGAAGAGGTTCTCTTTTCTTACAGCAATAGAATGCAATTCTGAAGGCAGAATTGAGTGATTAACAGTTTTTACTGAGTACCAGCTATACATAGCTCACAATACGTCCTTGGAAGATGGTGGCTTCTCCCAGGGGAGTTCATAGTCTGAGTTGTGGGTTCTTCACGGCTTTTAAAAGGGAAAAGACATTGTATACAGACAATATTCTCATCCTTCATCATTCAAAAATGAGTCAGGAGTCAAAAAAAGGAATAAAATGCAATGTGAATCATGAAGTATTTTCTACGTAGAAATATATTTTGAGTTTAGGATTTTTTTTTTTTTTAATCTGAACTAGGACTTAGTGACTGTCCCCTTCTTTCTATGAAAAAGGAGCTGGGATCTCAAGAGAAGGACTAGACAGCAGAAGGATGAGTCCCAGGACCTGGCAACCTTTATGTGTTAAGTGAACTTAATACATTTTTTTTTTTTTAGGACATCTTAGCAACGTATGGAAATACTGGGGCTGGTGAGGGATGGCTGTAGCATATATTGAAAAGGAGCACATAACTGAGAGCTGTGCATTATGTGTTCTAGGACTGGCATGGTTAAGGAAACAGGTCTCCAGGTATTGTAGAGAAAGTGCTAAAGCTTCTGCAGTATTCAAAAAACATGAATGTTTTTCTTTCTCAGCCTTGAGGCATGTTTATACAAGGAGATGAATCCCAAATAGCTGTTGCTGAATTCTGTCTTTTCTGCAGTAGCCTCCTGGATGAACTTTTTTATTCTGTGTGGAGAATCCCCTATGCAGTTTGGATAATTATAATTACTGAATTGGTATTACCAGTGTGGATTAGCCTAAGCTGCACAAGAGCAGTGAGTGGGGTTAACACCTACATAGGGAGTGAGCGCAGGATGGAAATTCTGATTTAATTTCTCACTGTACCTGTTTGAGTTCCCACTCAGAGCCCCTGGGTTGGCGTGGGGAGAGAGCTGGCTCCGTCCTGTACTCCTGCCGTGCTGCCCAACTGGAGGATTTTTGACCTGTGACCGTGCACCGGGTTTTCTAGCCAAATTCTAACTGAGAAGGGGAAACCAGTAATTACTTAATACAAGATGGGTTTTTCTGAACCCAGTTCTACCTGTGCCAAGAAGGAAGGAATAGCAATGTTATTTCCAAGGAGTATGTGCTTTCCATAGCTAACAGGATGCATATTTGTAGCTCCTGGGTATTTATTTACATAAAAGCACAATAAAACAGTTGTAAATTGATTTTTCAAAGAATTAATTTAGAATACAGCTAAAAGACATTCCAATTGATTCATGTTTAGCTAGGGCACATCGTATTTGGCCTCAGTGCTGTTTGTACAGCCACAACTGGCAATATAGCCTCCAAATTCCATTTCAAGCAAAACACAAGAAACTGTATTAAAATCAGAGAATTGTCTAGGTTGGAAGGAACCTTTCAGATCATCAAGTCCAACCATATACAACAACAAAAGCAGCCGGCCAACTAAAAGAACAAGTTTTAATGTTCTTATTTATGATAAAAGTCCAGAGGTCATAGTATTAATAAGTCTGTATTAATGCACACAGCTCTGGTTAAAAGGGAACAGAAATAAATGCCATTTTCCAGAGAGTTCATTATAATAAGCAGTTCTTTGGAATTAGCTGAAGGTTAGAGCTTATCATGGTTGGAATTGTTTTACAACAGTGGGTTTTCAGCCATTTTCCTTTTAGGCCTAGAGTAAATTTTTAACAGAGAGATGAATCTGATTTAAGCCTGCGGGTGAGACTTGTGCTTTGCTTGAATATGTTTATGGTCCCTTTAGAGGTAATCCAGTTTCACCTGAAGGAATCAGGGTCAACTGTTTCCCTAAAGAATTTATTTTATAAAGAAATTTCACAGATATATATATACACACACACACACGTGTATATGTTTATATGTGTTTATATATATATGTGTGTGTGTGTGTATGTATATATACCTTGTGCTGCTGTATGATGGATGCAGCAGCTATATGTATCCAGTTACACTTTTGTGATATTCCTGTTTCTATTCTGGAAAGGGCTCTTCTGCCTTCTGCTGTTTTAAATGAACATGTACCAGATTTTGTAAGCGGAATTCTGCCATACCTACTGCTTTCTACACCTCCTGCCTGCCTTACAGCTTCCTTTGTGATCTATAGGAAGAGGGAATCTCAGAACGATTGGTTTTGGGTTTATGCATCTGTCTGGAACAGGAATGTTCATCCCAGGTGCAACCTTAGAACCCCAGGCTAGACTGGAAGATGGTATAAATCAGTGGATCTCCATTCCCAAATGTACTAATCGGCAATTATCAGTCTAAATGAAGAATTAAGAGATCATTAGCTCATTCATTAATGACAACAACATGGCATTATGGAAATGAACACACTCAGTCTCACCCATACTAAAGACTCCTGGAAATGTCTTTAGTAATACCCTGCTAAATGTCAGGGTCTTTTTTTATGTTTATTGCTGCTATAGATAGTAGTGTCAGTTCCTCCTAACATGGCAATTGCACTAATAAATGTTACACTCCTGTGCATGTTTTGACAAGGAAATAACTTTCAGTCCACTTCATTAAACAGGGAAGGGTACTGCAGTGAGGCACACGGTGTTTATTTTTGGATTTATAATGCCATTGCCAACCTTAGTCTTGTGTGATTTAGTGATCCCCATTTCCTTGTAAGCCGTGGCAGCTCCATCTGCTCCTCTCTAACTCACGGCGAGACCCACCTCTCCACCCTCTGACTTCTTTCTGTGTTTTGCTGTAAGACATTGCATAGGATTGACTGTAAATAGAAGAATCGCTGCCTTTGTGTATGTTGCTGTTACATGTGACCTGCTACTCAATTTTCACACCGGATCGTTCGATAAAGCTAAAGCTTCTGAGCAAGGAGTGTGAGACAAGGCTGGGAGAAAGGGGGCCGTGGGGTGCTGGTGGGGGAGCACCCCTGCACGTGTGCCCCCACGAGCACACCGGAGCCTCAGCCTGGTGTGGGGCTGGGCCAGGGCTTGTGTAGCTGCGGGAGTAACAACAAATTAACCTGGAGGTGTCTTTATTATGGGGCTTCTGCAGCGCTGTGTTACACAGCCACGTGCCTTTCCCTGTAATGAGGGTAATAATAACACGGGACCTAAGTCCTGCTCAGAGCTGCTGCATGAGTCACTGTCCCAAACTACAGATAGGAGGGATTTCTGTTTTCATGATTATTTATTTTTATCTAATTTTAATGTAAGTCTGCACGTGGCTTTCCCAGCCAGGGCAGCAGAGCTTCCATGGCTGCCGTGCTCCTTTCCCGTCGGGCTGCGGTGATGAACAGAAGGGTACTCTTTCTGGGGAATGAATCACAGCCATGCCTTCCTCTCCACTTGCTTCTGCTGGCTTTTGCCAAGAGACATTAAAACCCACTGCTGATGGGTCAGAAGTGCAGGGGGGAGGTACCACAGGCAGGAAAGCATCCTGGCTGCCACACCAGGGTTTTAAGCTGGTCAGTACCCCGCTGCTTCCCACAGCCTTGTGCTGAGGTTGGCTGTCAACTCTGCCTGTGCCAGGTCCTAGATCTAGGCTTACCTGGTGAAATCCAGTCTTTTTTTGTGGCCAGTCCTCCCTTGAGAAGACCAGCAATGCTGCGCATCTCCCTGGGTCCAGTTCCCTGAATCTTTCACCCCAGGGCTGCTCTCGCTCCCTGTTCCCCACCACCCTTAGGTACCTGCCGTCATCTCTGCTGCTGCTGGTACAAAGAGCTTTTAAGCAGGTTGAAGTGACATCATTTGTGTGTCTCCATTCCAGAAACGGTGCAGGAAGGCTGTGCTGGCCCTGCAGCTGGGCACACGGGGCTCACTGGGGCTCAGCACTGACCTGAGCCTCCCTGTGCTCCCACAGTGCAGTGGGGAGCATGGCTGGGCTGTAGGAAGCTGCTGGTCTAGAATATCATAGAAACTGGAAGAAGAGGAAACCCTTTTGAGTCGAGGGTGGAACTCTTCAGGCAAAGAGGTTTTTTTCAGGGCATTATCTTCTGTTGTGAGAGTTTTTTTTCACATGCTTTGGAAAAGTGATTAAATGATTGAGGCAATTTACTTTTTTTTGGTTGGTTTTTTTTTACCAATATAGGTAAGCTAATGAAGCTGTGACACATGTAGCAGTCATCTGCTGCTAATGCCATTTCAAGGTGCTTTGAATCTGTGTAGCTTATTTTACTTTGCTGAGTCTCAATGTAGGGTACCGTTGCGAGACTTCAATATCTTTGTAACTGTCCACACTAGAAGGGCTTTGCACTTGTACTATGCTGGCATAGATTAAAGGAGCAACGTCTTTAGTGCAGACTTTGCACTGTGAGTGACCTTGTTAAGTCCCAAGAATTACTTGCACTTGGTTGTTGTGTTTGTAAGCCTTCGGAAGATCAGCTGCTTGTGTGAAAACCTGCCTGATCTTTACTAGTTCAATCAAATTGCACCTGAAGTGGAAATAATTCTGAGTCTTGCAGTTTCTTTTGAGATACTTACAGTGCTGAAAGTAAGGCCTCTGGTTAGGTAAAAAGGCAAATATTTAATATATATATATTTAATTCATAGTGTAATTAGTACCTTTCTATTTTATTTTCTAGAGATTATACAAGCTAAGGCATATTGCTGTTTCTCTGATGTGCAAATACACAAAATCCTACAGCATTGGATGGAGAATCAAATCTCCATTGAGTAAATTTACTGCCAAAAGTACTTGAATTCCAGCTCCCTCTAGCTCTGAAAGCACTTAGCTCTCAGTCTGGCTCCTAAATGATCTCAAGACTCCAGAGGAAGATAGGAAATTAAACATTTTGCTGGACTTGGGTCCAGGTTTTTTATGTCTAATTTTTGACTTAAGTAAGTAAATTTTATGTATATTTGCGCAGCTGAAACATCATTAGAGGTAAAGCCTCACTATTTCTGGTAATCACATGATGCTTTGAGTTGGTCAGCCTCTTGAGTCTGTGACCATCATTTCTGGTACCTTGGTATGTTCTGGGGTATGATTTTTGAATTACTTTAAATTCAGAATAATCTTAGATATTTGTGGCATAGGGTTTTACAGAATAAATAAAATGGCAAATATTGCCTGGAGTAACTTTTTCAGGTTGGAGAATTGGTTTAACCAAACAGGACCTCAGGACTGGAATAGATCACCTTGGTCGGCTGACCTAACCAGTTTACAGAATGGTTTGTTTGAATAAGATGCAGAAAAGTTGTATGGTATGTATAAAAGATCACCTTACTTTTTACTGTGACCTCCCTGTGCGATGAAAACAAGATATAATGTTTTCCCCAGTGGGGTGGCAGAAGCTGGGGTGCTGGGGGAGCCGTCTCGCTCTGTGGCATGAGTCCATGCCAGGTGGGACGTGGACCTTGCCCTGTGCCCAGCCTGGGGAGAGAGGTGCTGCCGTCAGCTCGTCGCTGAGCGCTGTGCTCACCGACCAGATGTTTGTGATAAGAGTTTTATTTTGTCAGTTGTCGTCTTACATCCTACCATCAGCTGTGGGGTGTAGCCTCTGCACCTTGTTGACTCTCCTTTACAATGTCTCTCTCTCCTTTACAGTGTCTCTCTCTGTTAAATCTGCATTGATTGTAATTTTTAAATGCTAATGTGCCTTATTGTCATTGTAGAAGATTTGTTTTAGCACAAGAATTTTCTATCAAATATGGTAAAATCTTCGGGATTTCTTTATAACCATTAAAAGATGATATTTATGTTTTTTCTGTTGTTGGACCCATGCTTGATCCCTTAGAAGATGCTGCAGCTATAAATCTTAACAAGAACAGCCACGCGTGTTTGAGCAGCGAGTCCCCAGTCCCTGCTTCTGCTGAGGGTTGTGCCCCGTGCCCGTTGTGAAGCGCAGTGTACACACAGCTGTGTGCACTGTCCTCCCACACTCTGTACACACGCGTGGAAGCTTCCTGCCAACATAAACCCGGGCGTTGACTGACGACACGTGGCCAGCACCAGGCTCTCACCTCCTTCTGACCTCAGTGCTCTGCGCAGCCCCGCTGCCCGTTGTCTCATGAGTAAGAACAGGTAATAAGCAACATGGTGATGACGATGTGCCAGTGAGCAGCACCCTCCTGTGGGCCAGGTCCATATTCCTAAGATGCAAGAAACGACAGATTGGGTCAGGTTTGGTGCTTCTTGTACTTCACAATATGTGTGATTATAGCACATGGTCTTACGCATTCAGCCTTACCAAATTTCTGCAATGTATTTTGGTGTTATTGGACATAAGAGGTTATATGACTTAGTCAGGTCATGGCCAGTAAGAGTCAGAGCGAAAATCAGCAGCTCTGGGTACAGAGTGTGAGCTTAATCTCTGCATACGTGTTCTTGAGTTAGACAAAACCTTTCCTTGATCCAGCATGGTTCAGTTTTTACCTGAGGGGGCCTTTTACCTTAGGAAACCTCAGTGGACATGCTGTGATTTTTGTGTTGGTGCCAACAGAGTGGTAGGAGCACTTAATTACAGAGAGTGCCAGCAGGAGCTTTCTGCTCTCTTGAAAATCGTGGGACAGCCATTGCCTTCAGCAGAGTGACTCTGGTTCCTGCTGATCCAGAGCTGAGATAACAGGCTTCAGTCAGCAGCTCCCTTTACCCGTGCTGCTCAAGGCTTTACCTCACCTGCGCACATCTAATTCTTGCCATATACATGCTCCTCTACTAGACGAGACCCTCAGCCCCATCTCCTGGTTCACAGCCTGGTAGAGGCTGCTTGGGAAAGGTGTACTGGGGGTCCAGCCCATGCAGAGCCCTCCCAGAACCTGGTAATCAGCAGGCTAGAAACTTCTGAGCTCTTAGACATTTTTGACAGCTTTTGCAGCACTCCTCTGTTAAGCCACACCATCTGGCAGTCCGTCCCACCGTTTGTCTTGTGTGAAAAAGCTTGTCTTTCTGTTTAATAGCAGATCGTTGGAGACGTGCTACGGTTTCTGGGCTTCTTACCCACCTGCTGGAGCATCTTTCTGTCCTGTGGCATTGAGATATGACCTCTGTAGGATCCCTCTCCGTGGCCTCGGTGTGCGATGAGCTGGTGTGGGATGGCTACTGGGAGAGCTCGGGAACCAGCCACAGGGCTCTGCCTGACATCTTGGGGGCAAGTCGTGGTAACTGCAAATAGGGTGCCCCCGTGAGCCAGCCAACAGCCACAGGGGGAAGAGCATCCCACCAGCACAGCCTTGGTGCTACGAAGGGCTCGTCGGCAGCACGCACAGGTCAGGTCTGAAATGGTGCCAAGTAGCTTGGGCTGAATGCCAATTCAGTATGAAATAGAAACGTGTCTCCCCATTTTTATTCCACTGTATTCATCTGCAGTCAATTTAATCGGTTTACAGAGCCATTATAGCATTTTCAATTATTAGCTTGATAATTTGGAAAAGGGTCATAAGCACGGGACGTTTGTCATGCAGGGAGAAACATGAAAACAGCAACGAAGAGCCGCAAAGGTTGGCAAGGAATTATTTTCACCCTCCTTGTATAAATAGGGAATGCTCCCTAAATCCCCTAGCTGATGTGCTTGGAAGTGCTCGTTTTTCCCATCTTCTAGGAGTGGGTGTCAGTGCTGGGGGAAGGACTTGTAGCAGGGCATTAGCAGGATGGACCCAGTGTGTCCTTCTAGATCTGCTGCCTCCGCACTGAGTCTCTTTCCAAGGACGTAGCCTCCATCTTACGTCTTTCAAAATACACTAAAAAACATTCCTTGCATGTCTGTCTTCGTGGTTAATTGCTGGGGGCGAGCAGTAGCTGAAATAAATGTTCTTTATCATTATTTATTTATGGGTTCCTTGGTCCCTCTCAAGCTTCAGAGTGGTGGGACTGCATCACCATGTGCAGTCACAGGGTGAGCGACACTTTTGGCCTCACAGCATTTATGTCTGGAGAGAACTTTGCCTTGTGTGCTCTGCTGTGACCCCTGCACATCAGAATAAACTGCCCTGCGGGGTAACAGGAGGCTGCAAAAACTGTTTTATTTTCTGAGAAGACCTAGTGTACTGCTTCTACATTTTCTGATGTTACCTCTTGCAGAAATGTGAATAATTGCTTTCCAAGAAACCATAGGAAAAGTTCTGTTCAGCTTTTTTGTCCTCGGGCACTTCTGTTGCATTTTACCCTATCTCAGCAGTGGGACCAGTTCTGGGTTTGTCTGCTTTTCTTTATTTTTCTTTTTTTTTTTTTTTTTTTTAAAAAAAAAAAGATGGTGTTTTGCAGATGTCTACATATTGAAAATTCATTTCCAAGTGGAACCAAACCAGCAGCCATCCACAAAGACTGTCAAGTCCCAAATCTGAAAGGAAGGAAGAGCATCTCTCTTAGATACCTGGCACCGTTACCTGGCTCAGTTGCCTTTTTTTAAATAAAGTTGCATGGGATCTAAGTAACTGCGGAGCAGCGGAGTGCAGCCATGTACTGAGCCAGGCTGGCCCGTTTATGGAGCCAAGACATGTGAGATGCTGCTTGAAAGTATTCCAGAAGCCAAATGGTCGTAAGTATTTTTACAAGCCTTAAAGCAAATCAAAAATCCTTGCGCAGTGCAGTTAACTCTGTTCCAAAGAAAACTGGAGATGCCAGCTTGTCCTGATAAACAGAAGTGATGCATTGACACAGCAGCAGAGGCTTGAATTCACTACACTTGCCCACTGAAAATGCCTGGGTAGCAATCACAGACCCAGACGATTTCATTATTATTTTCTACTTTAGGACAGAAAGCCGAAATAGCCCACTGCTGCATTTTCCTTGTACTTGGGAGCGTGGGTTTTCACTCCCGTGTTTCTTGCTGGTTTCAACAGTTGTTGCATAGGTGGATGTTACATTGCTCACATACCACGCCATAAATGAAAAATTTGGATTTCATGCTTTCTGCTTGTGTTAAAAACAGAGGGTGCCATGTTACTACTGGCAGGCAATGTCCTGTCTACACTTGCATTATTCAAGCTCATACCATCTGTCCAACCCAGCCTTGCCCAGAAAGGAGCTAAACAGGTAAGTGAGTTTGTGGTGGCAATAAAGAACAACCCTTGAAGAAGCATTTGAAAACAAACAGTTTCAGCAGTTAGCTGTAGTGACCTTGCATTTGGAAGGCAGGGCAGCCTTAGCCACCTCAAGGTCACATGAAGTTCCATTGTGGGTTTCTTTTTTTAAGCTGTCTGCTATACATTTTCTAGAGCAGATGTGAAATGTTTGCCGTTTCCACCCTTGCCTCACCTCATAACAGTAAAAGTGACTTCAGAGATGTACACAGTGTTCAGTGTAACCAAATATGTTCTTGGTTCTGTTAGGATGGAGAACATAAAATGACCTCAGTGCCCACAGCCTGAATTTCCAGCACAGGGAGGACCATGCAGAAGCTGCCCTAGCATGGAGGCTTGCTGTTTCAAAGACATCAGTGCAGAGAACCAAATCCATGGGGATAAGGAGCTTGAGGATGTAATTGTAGGGAAAGTATGGAATATTTTGAAGTTGAGTATACAAAAGCAACTGGGAATTTGCACACAAGACAGGGAGGAACAAGTTTGTAGGGAAGGATGGCAGGGGAGGCATCGAGACAGAAGGAATAGAAAAAATCTGCTCACTAAAACCTATGCATTGGAGAGGTAGAAAAGCATGGCTATATCAAGGCTTACCAAGCTGTATCAGGTGGTAACAGAAGCCATAACAAACAGAAAGTTCCAGAATATGTAAGTGAAGATGGAAGTTGGAAGGAAAAGCAGCAGCCGGCAGGGAAGGTTAAAGGTAGATACTGTCACAAATGAAAAAAGTGCTTTGTCCCGTTTTCATGGTGGACAAATCAGAGATCCAGAACTGGAAATGAATGATCAAAAGATCAAAACCCGAAGATGGATTGTGCTCAGGTGTGTTTTATCCCAGGAAACAAGTTGACTTGAAGGACGGGCCTGGCCAGCTCTTCAATGACTGACTCACTGGTTGTTCACTGACTGAATTTCAAGATGAAGTAATCATACAGAAAATGGAAATTTGGGTCATTTGCTAAGAAAGAAGATGGAAAACAAGTGAGCAGAGGCAACATCAGACAGGCCAAGACACAAAATGAGCTATAACTAGGAAGGATATTAAAGCATATGAAGAGATGATCTTTTGGACAGGAGGAATGACAAGGCTAAGGAAAGATACAGTACGTTACTGAAAGAAAGGGAAGGGAAAGGGGAGCTATCAACAGATGTACCTGAAAATACATGAGCTGTGGAGGAATGGCAGAGAATAAAGAATTCACAGAAGTAGATAGATTGAACAGCTGTTTCCCCTACCATGTGCTCTCATTTTTTCCTGCTGCTGGAGAGTACTGATGTTTCTTATTTATTTACTTCTAATTACTGAGATACAGACTTCCACTGATGGGATAAATGTAGCTCAGGATGCTGATCTTCCCCTTCTTTTCCCTCAGGGTGTCTCCCCAGCGTCTAAATCAAAGCCTTGTGGAAATGTCATCTCTCCACACCTCACACCATCTCTCTGAACGCCGTGGGCTCTCAGCCCCCTCCCCAAGCCCAGCACACAAGTCGGTGCCAGGAGCAGAGGCAGGGGCCGAGCTGCCTCACTGCTGGGTGTTTTGTCCTGCTCCACGGGGCAATGGCACAGCCAGCAAAATCTTAGAGACTAGGTCTATGGAAAAGAGATGGAAAAGAGCGGAGAAGGAGGTGAGCAGGAGCATGTGCTGAGAGGTCTGAGGCAGGTTGTTGGCAGCAAGGGCACAGCAGTTACAGCTGTTATTTACAAGGCTGCTGTTTCAATTCAGGATGATAAGACATTACCTTTTTTCCCGGCCGCTAATGTAATTGTTCACCTTTATCTACAAAAAGAATGCAACCCTGCACTTTACCAAATTGTGCTTACTTCTGCCAAGCAAAATCTCTTGTTATTTGTGCTAAAAAAAAAAAAATTGTGCTTGTCTCTAAAAGGCACGTGCAAAACGTGGATTGTGCAGATTTGACATGTATTGAGTTCTTCTGTCTACCTAGAAATAACCCGTGTCATCCCACCTTTGCTGTCTGGGCAGAACTCTGTTTTTCGCTGCCCCGGCGCAGCCCGGGTGTCTGGCTCTGGGAGGGGGTGAGCCCAGCCTGGCTGGGCAGAGCTGGAGGGGCTAGTGGCACCACACTGGTGGAAAAGCTACTGGGAAAGAGAAGTCATTCTGGAACCAGTCTTGCTCTTTGGTTATTTTTTTTTTTTTTTTGAACAAAAGCTTGTCCAGAATAGGTGAAAACCTGAGCAGAGGTGAAAACCCAGCAGGACGCAGGCAAGGATGCTCTCTCTGTTCAGGGAGGGGCAGAGCAATTACACACCCAGGAAGATTTCTTTGCATCGCTCCCCATGTTTAGCAAACACATCTCCAGATACCAGCAATACTGTTATCTGGCAGGAGCACTTCTCTAAACCTCTTCAATCATTCTTAATGGCCAGAACAAGTTTTCATCAAAAATACTCTCCCAGAACGATGTTTGTTTTCAAAATACAGCTCTGTTTGGCCGGCTGCACCATCTTCATCAGCTGGAGCGAGATAAAAGGGTCGATGGCTTGGCTGAGTACCTCAGATCTCTTCTCAAGGGAAGCGGCACACGGTCCAGAAGGAAGGAAAAGGGACCAGGTTTGCCCAGCCTCGTGCTTTCCCTGCTCCGTGTGCGCTGTGAGGAGAGGGGACAGCTCTGTCTGCCAGGGACAAGCTCCAGGTAGTGAGAAAACACCCGGTATCTCCCCGCAGCCAGAGGTAAGAGGTTTGGGTTGGGACCAGTGGTTGAAATGAAGCCGTGGGGCGGGGGAGTGGGAATTCTCATCATCCCAGCTCAGTTTCTGACTGCAGCCACTCTTGGTCTCCTCTCAGGAGATTTATTTTCTCTGTGTGTGTCATTCAGTTTTGGCCAAAAAAAAGTATGTTTTGTTGCAGCTGGATTTTGACTGAAAAACTTAGGAGTAGCTCTGGGAAGTGACTATGTTACTTAACCAGACTGAAGGAGTAGGATGCTTTTGTTCTGCAGATAGGAGCCACTGTGATGGGCCTGTTTGATGCCAGCCAACAATGTCATTTAAGATTTTGAGATGTTAAAGGCAAAGTTATTTTGCAAGTGACCTCCCTTGTCCACATGTTACATTTGTAAAGCATCATTTGGAATATCTCAACGTTTCCAAAGTAGTTCTTGCTTAAGTGGAAGTGTCATCAAGAAATGTAGGCTTCCTGAAGAGGTCTCAGTTTCAGTGAAATAATATTATCTGATCTTACTCCATCCCACTGCTCTGTTGCAGAACAAGAGGTATGCTAGAAGGAGCACAGGGGGATGTAGTTCCATCCCTGATGTGAGCATCTGTGCCAGGATGAATGCAATATAAACTGTGGTCTCAGGGCTGTGGTTGATCAGGCCCATAGCTGAAAACAAACAAATCAACTGGCACCATGGGGAAGTGATTTGCTGTTTGATTTGTCTGAGGTTATTTTCCTTTATTTATTTATCTATGCAATCTCCACGGGCCCTGGAGCTAAGCAAAGCACATTATGTACGTGACTGCAACACTTCATGGCTGCCTGCTCTCCTGCCTTAGCTCTCCTGGTGCAATGGAGGAGACATCGAGCCAGAAGTCAGGACAGAGCAAAGACGTAGTGGGGTCCCTAACGCCAGAAGAGACTCCTGCCAGTTTTATGTATGTCAAATTGGAGGAGTATGAGCCTGCAGACTTCAGCACCAAGGAACTCATCCGAAAGAAAGCCAGAGAGATCTGCACATGCGATCGTCAAACCATCACCACCTTCTTCTGTCGGCTGTTCCCAGTGCTGGACTGGCTTCCCCGTTACAACATAAAGACACAGTTGCTTGGGGATGTCATATCTGGGCTCCTAGTGGGGATAGTTGCCATCCCTCAGTCCATCTCCTACTCCCTCTTAGCCAACCAGGATCCCATCTATGGAATCTACACCAACTTCTTCTGCAATATCATCTACGTTGCTGTGGCCACTTCGCGCCATAACTTCGTGGGGTCCTTTGGTGTCCTGTGCCTGATGATTGGGCAGTCTGTGAACCGGCACCTCCAGCTAGCAGGGTACAGTGACGACAATGCTGCCTCTTCAGTGGTGGGCAACTCCACCTCCATCAGAAATGGGACAGGTGCCTGTGACAGGAGCTGCTACGCCATCACTGTGGCCCTTTCCTTAAGCTTTCTGGTCGGTCTTTATCAGGTACAAATGTTCACAGTCGTGCTGTTTCCTCTCTTTTTCCTTGCTAGGAACTGCTGCGAGCTAAACATCTCTAAGCTCCAGTCTTGGTTCAGACTTACAACTCATGAGAAACCTTTTCTGATATGACTAGACCCCGACACCTTTGAATCAAATGCAGTGATTTAGAAACCCCCAAACACAGATGAATATGGGATGTTTTTCCCTCCATGTGACAGGCCGGGTCCTTGGGTGTGTCTGAAACATCCTTAGGATCACACGCAGCAAGGGAGGAGAAGGAACTGTGAACCACCTGCCCACCACCCCAGTCCTGGAGCTGGGCTGGCTCCTGGTGCAGGTTAGAGCAGTTTTGGGGCTGGCAAGATCAACCCTCAAGGACCTTGCCATCAGCGCAGCTCCTTCAAAGGCCACGCTCCCTGGCAATGTCCCCACTGCCTGGGCCTAGCTGTCACTGAACAACTTCAGGCTCTTTCACTGGGACAACTAAAATTGAGTGCATCACACCAGTTTTATGCCAGCGAGTGATACTCAAAGCTGCTGTGATGGGGCTGCTGCCTGGACTTTCAATGTTAACTGTGTGCTTATTGCTTGTAAGGAGGCAGCAGCAGGGACCTTGTAGGCTTCTTTGTATGGCATCTCTAGGCACAGATGAGTGTTATAGGTGGGTACACTGATTGCTCCTCAGACAGAATAGCCAAAGCTGCTGAAGTGGGAGCAAACTGGCATAAATTGCCAGCCACCTCTTCCAGCCCTTCTCATCGATGCTAAAGGTATGGCTGGCTTGCTTTTCAGATCCTGCTGGGGGTTTTACAGCTGGGCTTTGTGGCTGTCTACCTGTCAGAACCTCTCCTCAGCGGCTTTGTGACCGGCTCCAGCCTCACCATTATCACCTCCCAGATGAAGTATCTCCTGGGACTGAAAATCCCTCGTCATGAAGGGGTGGGGTCCTTCATCCTGACGTGGGTGGACCTTTTCAGATACATCCAGAACACCAACATCTGTGACCTGGTCACTAGCCTGGTTGCTTTGGTTGTCATACTGCCTGTCAAAGAGATCAATGACCGGTATAAGGAGAAGATGAAGGCCCCGTTCCCCATAGAGCTGCTGGTGGTCATTGTAGCCACAGTAATATCTTACTACTTTAACTTCGAAGAGCGATACAAGTCTGCTGTTTGTGGGACTATCCCCACTGGCTTCAGGAAACCCACTCTACCAGATATAAACCTGTTTTCCAGCCTGGCAGTTGATGCTCTGCCCATTGCTGTTATTGGTTTTGCCATGACTGTCTCCCTGGCAGAAATCTTTGGCAAAAAGCATGGCTACGCCGTCCGTGCCAACCAAGAGATGATTGCCATAGGCATGTGCAACCTGGTCCCTTCCTTTTTCTACTGCTTTGCCAGCTCTGCAGCCCTGAGCAAGACTCTGCTCAAGGAGTCCACGGGCACCCAGACTCAGGTCTCTGGCCTGGTCACCTCCCTGGTGCTGCTGCTGGTGCTGCTGTGGATCGCCCCGCTCTTCTACTCACTGCAGACCTCCATCCTGGGGGTGGTCACCATTGCCAACCTGCAGGGGGGGCTGAGGAAGTTCCGTGACACCCCCAGCATGTGGCGGCTCAGCAAGCTGGACACGGTGGTGTGGTGGACAACCTTGCTGTCCTCCACGCTGATCACCACAGAGACTGGGCTTCTCGTGGGTGTCTGTTTTGCTCTGCTCTGTGTCATCTTCCGCACGCAGAGACCCAGGGCCATGCTCCTGGGCAAGGTCAGCAACACGGAAATCTATGAGGACCAGTCCACTTACAAGCAGCTCAGCAGTATTGCCAACATCAAAATCTTCCGCTTTGAGTCATCCCTCTACTATGCCAACAAGGACTATTTCAAGGCTGTTCTTTACCAGAAAACTGGGGTAAATCCTATCCTGCTGGCTGCTAGGCACCAAAGCGGGGAGGCCCAGGTGAATGCAGACACAGGCAACAGCAAGAGCTTTTTTGGCACCAGGTTTGGCTGCCTGAAACAGGCCAAGAAGAGGGCTGAGAAGCCTCCAGAAGATACCTGTCCTCCTTCCGTAGATATGCACACCTTAATCCTTGACTGCGGGGCAATGCAGTTCATAGATACTGTGGGTCTCTCTGTGCTAAAGGAGACACGTCGTGACTATAAGGAGATTGGCGTCCAGGTGCTGCTGGCCAACTGCAACCCTTCCATCCGCCACCGGCTCCAGGAGGGAGGCTGGGCTGGTGGGATGGACAGTGGTGGTCAGTTGGCCTTCCACAGCATCCACCATGCGGTGCAGTTTGCTGAGCGGTGGTACCACAGGCAGCAGGAGGAGAGCGAAGATGCTCTCCCAGACCCCAAAGACTTGAACTTCCAGGTGTCTTCCTAGCCCTCGTGTGCGAGGAATGATTTCTAACGGGGATGGGCTTGGGGTGTACTTGAGAGCCGCTACATAAAAAAGGACTCTGATGGATGGCCAGCACCAGGCATGGGCGGCGCGAAGGATTGGGACGGGGGACTGTCCCGCATGGACACGTGTCTCTCTCCTGGGCACTGGGGGGCTGTCTCCAGGGCCCCAGTCTCCGGGGTTCCGTGCCCTCCCCAGGTTCTCATGACTTCTATGGCTGAAATTACAGATTTCCTCCCCAGAAAAGGTATCTGAGATCACCAGCTGCTCTTCATAAACTGTAAATCAGGAACACCTGTGCCATAGATTTTAACAGCCATGTTCTCCCAGTGTTTGCAGACTCTGTGCTGCCTTTCAGATGTGATGGCTGGACCTAGACTGCAGCTGGGGAGATGGTGCTGCCATCCACAGCCGTCGGGCAGGGCTGCCTTCTGCCTGCAGCACCACCAGAGGGGACCCGGCTCCTGAGCAGACACAAGGACCTGTCCTCACTGGACCGGGAGAGGCAGCATCCTGCTGGCTCTGCTTCTGCATCCCAGGGGTGAGTCCTTGCTCTGAGCTGTGAGGCTCCACAGCACTGCCGAGCACCAGAATAGCTTTTCTTCTGTGAACTCCCATCTGCAAAAAACACCTTCTATATTCCATATTTAATATCTAACTATTCCCCTAGCCTCATCCAAGAAATGTGGCACCAAAGATGCAGTGCTGAAGGGGACTCTAGCGTTGGCAGCCACTCTGGAGCCCAGGGACGAGAGACTGTTGTAAATAAAGTGGATGGAAAAAGAAACCTGTTGGCTCTGCTCAGGGAAATGTCTTCTTGTGGTCAAACGGATTAAAGAGCATAGAGTGCCCAGCTGCTCGCAGGTCCTTGGAGCAAGGTTGTAAGTGCCAGATGAAGCTGGATTGACTGAGAGGTCAGTCCAAGACCCGCAGGGCTGGGTGGACAGGCCAGTGCTCAGTGTGCCCCGGGTGCTCCTCTCAGGTGCTGCAGCACCTCTCTCCAAGGGTCCTCGCAGGCCACGGCAGCCTGAGGCGACTCCCCAGGGAGGTTGCATCAGCCATGGAGCAATGAGTAATGGGGTAGTTTTGTGTTGGAACAGAAGAGAATCAACAAGGCAGTGGAGAAGAAAAGCCTCGTTACCTGCAGGGATTGTGACCTTCCTTCCCCTTTGGCATAGCATTGCCATAATTTTCTTCACAAGACCGTTTATGGTGAGAATTAAATTGTTTTAGTTAGACTTTAGATGCATTTATCTTCTCACTGGGGTCATAAAGCCCCACCAGGAAATAAAACCAGTGCTGATAATTCTCGGGCACAGCCTGGTGCAAGCTAGCACGGATGAGATTGCTCTCAGAGCAGTGGTTCTCACAGCCCTCTGCAACGGGAAATGGCTTTTTATGTGAGCGGTTTCTCTCAGAGCTGGGAGAGCTGTGAAAATGCCAAAAAGACACCCAGCAGTTTTATGAGGTGCCTTCCCCGGGAAAGCAGAAATGAGGTGGCAACCTCCTTTCCTCTCCTTCAGCCCAGAGCAGCTGGGATCTCGCTGGTGGTCCTTGTGCAGGCTGCTTGCCCAGATCTCCCAGCCCATCAGCTCCGGCATTGCCTTCAGCCCACACGTCAAACGTCCTGGTGACCCAGCGTTTCTCTGTTCCCCACAGATTGCCAAGGTAGCTCAAGGATCACTGCTATTTTTATATCAGTGCCTAGGAAGAGGCCCTGGGTTGTAAATGACACAGAGGAGAGATGGGGAAAGACAAATGACACAGTCCAAGGTCAGCTTATAAGTGGTGTCATGGGAGATTAGGCTGGCCTCCCACCACCTACATCACCTGGTGGAGCCAGATGAGAGCAGGAAGGGACCGTGACAAGTGTGGGCCAATTCCCAGTGATGAAAGGCTCCTGGTGAGGGCACAGGGCACTCATCTGCCCCCAGCCCAAGTCCTCCTGTTTGCCAAAGGACCTCAACATCTCAGCTGAAGACTGATCCATCGCATCTCCCACCCAAAAGGACTTGCTGCTCTGTCCCTGACAGGCTGCACCCCAGGGTCTCTTGTGTGCCTGTCCCCTAAAGCTTCACCAGGGGCTGAGGAAATGCCATGCAGCTGAAAGCAAATGTTATCCCTCCTGGTAAGCAGCTCACCTGTTATTCTCCTTCTCTGTCTCCCCCCTGCCTTGCTGTGGATCTATAAATACTCCAGGAGTGTGATAAATAGAGGATTGCTGCTAAGGCTTTGTCAGCTGCAGTTGGAGCTGACTGTGCAACTGTTAATTATGCCTCAGCAGCAGCCGGACAGGTTTAAATCCTTTTGATGCTTTGAAATGCTCCCTCTGGGGAAGTTTAAGGAATAAAGGTTGTCGTGGCTGATGGGTGTTTGCTTCCCCTTCTAGAAAGCGTACGAGACACTGATTGCTGCATGGAAGGCTGTGCTCCTCGCTTCCATCGCCTGTTCCTGGAAACACACACTCTGTATAATGACAAGAAGTTGCTTCTGCGCATCTATAACCACGCTAAAGCAGTTAGCATGATGCATGTGCATAGATTTTACCTGCTTTCCCTAGCAGACAAAAATGAGTTAGAAAGAGAAAGCAGTGAGCTGCAGGCATTGGCACGGGATCTCCTCAAAAAGAAAAAAAAAAAAAAAAAAAAGGCCAGCGTTAATGCCTCATTGGAAATAGCCTGGTGACAAGGGAATCTCTAGAGAGTGACTTGAGCTAATGGAGTCCATCTGCAGGTGAAAAGTTTCTGAGGGGTTCAGCACAATCCAGGGACTCTGCTGGGCCCCCCTTCTTCCCTCACTCCCCTGGAGCTTGCCAGGCTGAGTTGTGTGGGTGTCCACATCTTCATCTAAGAGCTTGCTGCTCTGGATTGCTTTATGGGTTTGCTGTGCCATATTTCTACTTAAGTTTCTCAGAAGAAAGGCTTTGCTCTGACATGTTCATTGCAGCTTCCAAGTTCTTCCACTGAGTAAGGGACATGCACCTGTTAGCTTAGATCCTGGTCTAAAACATTCAAAGTCATGGGATAGCCACATCAGAACCCCCTTCCTGTGCCACTGGATAAAAATCCTTTCCTTTTTCTGCTGCTCACTTCTGCCATCTAGTACAAAGTGTCCTGGGTGCTGTGTGAGTGGCTGGAGTAGAGGTATCCTCACAGATGATGCCCTGGCAATACAAAAGAAAAAACCAAGCTGCAAATATCAGGTGGTGATTGTGGGTGAGTGTTTCCAAAGCTGTGTGCTGAGCTGGGGCAGAGCCTGGCCTGGAGCCACAGGGCTTGGCCCCAAAAAACCTGCATGAGCTGTGGGCTCAAGGGGAAGACGGAGAGGTAGGAGGACAGGTCTTCTCTTGCTTCTGACTGTTGCACTAGGTGTGCCAAGTTTTTATCACATGCACCAAGTTTACTACTAACCTGAGTTCCACATGTCTGCTTAAGAAGTGGTTTCCACACTTACTTTTTTATTTGAAGATTGCCCTGGGGGACTGTAAAGTTCTTGTCTTAAACAATAGCCCTCTTTCACAGATATTTCCTCCTGGACATAGTCTCCTTCCAGCTGTGATAACCGCAGGCCAAAGGCTGAGTGTGATTTCTGTTGTGCAATCAAACAAATGATGTTCTGGCAGAGGATGGTGCCTTCACCGAGCTAGCAGTGTGCACAGGTGTGGATACCCAGGCACACCAGCCCGGGTACACACTTACATGCCAACCTTGTAGGTGTTTATCCAGGCCTCACGCTGCTGCATCGTTTCCAGGCACCGTATTTCCAACTCTGGTTCCCCAGGCACAGCTTTCAGCATGATAGGGCTATGATGATTTGCCAGAAAAGCCTGGGGTCTTCTCCTGCTACAGTCACATGGAAAAGAGCCTCCGGCCCCCATGTCTCCAAACACCTCAGGATGACCCTGCTACGAAGGCTGCAGAGGTGGTGCAGCCTGAAGGTGAGAGCCTGGGGAAGGAGGACAGGACCACAGCACACTGTTCCCCGCTCCATCCTTGGCAAGTCACTGAGCATTCAAGCCCTCTTTGCACTGAGTTCCTTCCCTCCCTCCACCTGCTGTAAAATGGAAGCGATGAGATTCATGTCCCCGGAGGGAGCTGCCAGGGCTCAAACCAGACAGCTCTGCAAGTGACATTTTTGGTAGCGTTTCCAGATTTTCAATGGCCAGGAAAAGCAAGGGGAAGAGACACAGTAGCTTTTGCAATGCAAAATCCCCCATACTACTAGCCTGGGAATGTGATCAATTTCTTTTTTCCACAGTGAATCTAAGAGATGGAACTTTTCTCAGTGATGTTCTTGTGAAAACAGGACTTTTTGGTCTTTTTTAATGATATGACTCCGTATCGTCGGTTTAATCAGCCACCCAGTACCCCTGGGAGCCCTGGAGAAGCTGGGGTGGCAGCTGTCTGTCAGCAGCCTCTGGGCTCCCAGCAGTCCTCTTCTTCCCTGCTAACAAACAGCCTCTCCTCCAAAGGAGAGCAGATTTACATTAACAGCATGAGTAGCACCTCTTATCTCGGCAGCACCTGGAGCGATAAGGGCAGTTGCATGAGTGATTAACATTAATGTCTAAAGAAGCAGAGCAGCTTCCTGGAGAGGTTGAGAAATGCATCCCTGTGTCTACTGGGGGAACTGGTACTGGCAGCATCTTCCTGCTTCCCATGTCCCAGCAGCGGTGACGTCTGGGGCACAGCCACATCCTCCAATTTTAGACACACGATGGAAATTCATCCTCTCGAGCCCTGCTGATAAAGAGGAGGTGTTTCTCCAGACACGGAGATGTTTTCTAGGGGGGAGTTCAGAGCCCTTGGAGGGAGCCTGTTTTTATCCCCAGCTATCAAGTGAGTCCAGGGGACACATCTAATTTAGGTATCCCCAAGGGGTGGCTTGGGAGTAAATGGTGCAAAAGAGCCTGCCCACTCTTCTGCAGACCTTTGTGTTATACACCCCATGCTAGATGCTTTTCTGAGCACTCAACAACCATTTGCCTGGACAAATTAGCAGGTAATTGGATGCACTCAGGTAATTGTAGCTACAAATTGGAAGATGGTTACTTTGGAAAGACAGGCATGGGGAGAATCATCTCACCTCACTCAAGCTACACAGAAGTAAATGGGAATGGTAGGATCCTGTGGCACTGATGAAGAGAGAGGACAGGAGTTTCTTCCCACCTGAGACGTGCCAAAAGCAGAGAGGTTAACCCATGGCTGGACATGCTCTGGAGATCCCAGCTCATTGCTCAGCCCAGGCTGGCTGCAGTTAGGGATAGGGTGCCCTCATACACCCCTGAAAGGGAAAGCTGTCCCATCACCCCTCTCCACTGGTAACGGGTACATCCTGGTTCCCATAGGGACCAGTGGCACTCCAAAGGGAGAAGCTCTCGGCTCTTGGGAGAGATGGAAAAGGAGAAAGGACAGAGATGAAATCAGCCAAAGAGGAAAATTACTCTGGGCAAAATTCTTGCAGTGCCCAGGATACTCACAAGTAGCAGCAGCTGCCGGTCTCTGTGATCTCCTGCAGAACAGCAAAGTCAGCCTGGTGACTGGGAAATCTTTCTGCAATTGCTGGTTTGCTATTGAACTAGCTCTACTCTTTGCCCTTTTTTCATCCTTGCCTGGAGAGGAATTGGATGGAGTCAATTTGCTCCACTTTGTGCCTGATCATTTTCTGCCTTTTAATCAGAAAGTCCATCGGGGAGAGGAGGCAGATCAAAGCCCCTCTATTTCACTTGTCGGCAAGGCCAGAGTCCTGTGCTGCCCAGTCAAGGCT